TCATCTTCATCATGAGCAACAGCACAATGTCAGCAGCATCAGCACCAACAGCATCAACTTCAATTGCCACATCATTATCATCACTGTCATCAACACCACCACCGCTACAAACACCATTTTCAACAACAACAACAACAGCAGCAACATATGCATCATCATCACCATCAGCACAATCATCATACTAGATATCAATATCAACATTATCATCATCATCAGCAGTAACATTACTCTTCTCATCACCATCATCACCATCCTCATTTTCATCATCATAAACAGCAAAAATATTGGTATCATTATCATTATCGTCATCATCAACAACAACAAAAGCGGCAGCAAGAGCAGAACATTAGTATCCTCCTCATCATCATCCTCTTCATCCTCCTCCTCATCATTATCATCAACGAAAACAACAACAACAACCCTGTAATCACCATCATCATCATCAAAATCGTCATCAATAACAGCATAAACAGAAACGGCAGTGTCGGCAGTAAGGACAACAATCGCAGCAACAACAGCAGCATTGTTATCACCATTACCACCCCCACTACCACCATCGTTCTACTCATCTTTATGATGAGCAACAGCACAATATCAGCAGCATCAGCAACAACAGCATAAACTTCAATATCCACATCATTATCATCACTCTCATCAACACCACCACCGCCACAAACACAATTTTCAACAACAACAACGGCAACAAAAACAACAACCTCGACAACGGCAGCAACATATGCATGATCATCACCATCAGCACAATCATCATACTAGTTATCAATATCAACATTATCATCACCGTCGTCACCATCCTCATTTTCATCATCATAAACAGCAAAAATATCGGCATCATTATCATTATCGTCATCATCAACAACAACAAAAGCGACAGCAACAGCAGAACATTAGTATCCTCTTCATCATCATTCTCCTCATCCTTCTCCTCATCATTATCATCAACGGCAACAACAACAACCATATAATCACCATCATCATTATCGTCATCAACAACACGGTCAGCAGCAACACTATCAATATCAGCCTCATCATCATCAGAGGCGACACGATGCCACTCTATCACCAGTCCTTAAATCACGTTAAGCGAGCTAGGCTGCCTTAGTGATAGGTCCGAATAAGAACGTTATCCACAACCCGTAAAGTCACTCCGGCAACTGGCGACCGCCGGTTCGCCGTCAACGCAAAAGTTCTTAACTGGCTCAGGGTAGGAGATCGACTTACGGAAGATGTAAGTAGCGTCGACCAGGCGAAGACACATCAAATAGGGTGTAGAACCGAGAACGGTGCACCAAGTAAAAGTCTGGGAAGGCAACAAGACGAGGCCGAGTTGTCTGGAGGTCAGAAAGAAGAATGACACATTTAGAAATATATGAAATTGATGCGGCATCAAACGCAGCGGAGAAGACTCTTTTGTCAGGGATACTTTAGATGAACTAAATTTTAGCGAATTTGGCAGGTTGCCATTTAGGCTTTTCGGAGTGTGAACAGAGGAAGTGTGAAACGCGTTAAAATAAGGGAAATTCAGTCGAGTGGAACACAATTCCTGCAGAATTGCAGTATTTTCAAATTGAGCTACATTGTCCATCGCTGGGGCTATAATTAAAGAGTTGCAGGCATCTTTTTTGACACGAGTGAGGCAAGCAAAAGTGTACTTAGTCTGAGAGCAGGATGATTAGCAGAAACGATGCGGACTAAACTGAAAATGACTGGCAACTTTTGAAAAGGATTTTATGAAGCCGCCGATGGGCTCCACTTCTCGTCAAGTGACTTGGCAACCTACAAATACTAAAGCCGATCGGAGCGAAACGTGAGGACAATGGGAAGATATATTTTTCCCGAAACTGTTGCTAGTGAAATATGGTATTGCATTGTATGTCGAAGCTATGCAATCAGTATGCACAGGGTAGGAAAATTAAGGACCTCCAGTAAAGTTTCTTGAAAGCCTCCACTCAACGACAACTGAAACTGTAGTTTTCTACTGTCTGCGGCCTCTTAATGAATTTGGGATAATCGGTTACAGCCGGGTGTATGAATTGAATGTGAAGGTTGGGGATGATCGAGGGGAGACGACAATGCATGATGACACATAGTCAAGTGACACATGCTGGCCTTGAAGTTCAACCTCATCCAGCACATGCTGTATACAGCTAATGACAGATTGTGTATATTCAGTATAAATTGAGTCTTAATCTCAAGGGAAAGGTTGATTGTAGCGAGTTAAAGAAATTAAGTGGGAATTATTTATGGCTATTAGATAGGCTCCACGAAAAGGAGACTCATGAAACCTTAAGTAACTTGAACATTAAATGAAGATAAAAACATAGAACGGTATATGTAAAAATGCATTAAAATTTGAGTGTGCTTAGACGGTTTATTTTTGTAATGCAAACATGAATAAACGTCGAAGATATGAAGAACAAGAGGGTGTGTTAGAATGGGTATTTTAGCAAAATACTGTCGATGTATGGAATAAGTTGACGCCGTATTCGCAAATTAGCCTGATAGTCAGAGCGAATTAAGTGGTAGCACCTCGTCAGAGACTGTATGCGAGAGTAGGTGTACGAAGTCCCTGATACAGACCGTGAAAAATGTCATCTAATCTAATTTGATCTCATGACATCTCATCTCATCTCATCTCATCTCATCTCATCTCATCTCATCTCATCTCATCTCATCTC